ATCCTTGACTAATTTGCAGAGAAAACAGATAGAGATGATATAGTCAACAGAAATGCTAGGCAACCCTTGAAAGGCAGCCATTTTAATTAATGAACCTGTATTAACTGCATATAACTTTGACAAGTCATTTAAATTAGTAGTAAATGTTAGCAATTTGGAAATTCAAGCTGATCTCTTACAGGATGAGAAAGCCAGAATGGAGAAGTCCATGGCTTATTTATCAAAGAAATTTTAACAACCATCAGCAAATCTATTCTTTCACAGAATATGGAAGCAACGGTGTTAGCATCGTTTCAACACTAAGATTTTATGTTCAACATGGTAACAATGAAACTGTGATTTCTGCCAATCATTATTCGTCAAATGTTGTTGATAAATTTGAAAATAAGACTCCAAGGTTGTTCAGTTGTAGTTTGGACCTGCAGTCATTTAACAAAAATGGTACATATTTCCAGGAAAGAAAATGTAATTGCTGATGCCTTATCCTGAATGTAAATAGTTGTAGATTTGACAGCATAACCAAGAAAGTTGAATAGTTACTAAGAATCTGCTGGGAAGAAGAATGAATGGCCGAGTGTTTTGGGTTTTGCTTGTTGTTTAAGCGCTTCTAGCCTTGTCATGAAACTGCTCTTTAAATAAAAAGGGTGTTTCATATTTTGAGGGATGAGGCATGTTAGAACTCTTCTTTTCATTATTTTTACTCTTTTGTCAAATTTGGTTTGGAGCTGTGAACTGGAAATTGTGAGCAAAGGCTTCTTTTGGGCTGCAACAGCTTGTTTGGCTTGTAACAACCAACCTCGAACAGGTTGATGTTAGGAAGGAGGATGTGCTAGAAATTTTGAAAAACATGAGGATAGATAAGTCCCTGGGCCAGACGGGATATACCCAGGGTTGCTACGGGATGCAAGGGAAGAGATTGCTGCCCCTTTGGCAATTATCTTTGCGTCCTCACTCTCCACTGGAGTAGTACCAGATGATTGGAGGGTGGCAAATATTACTCTATTGTTCAAGAAAGAGAATAGGGATGATCCTGGGAATTACAGACCAGTCAGTCTTACTTCTGGGGTGGGCAAATTATTGGAGAGGATTCTGAGAGACAGTATTTATGATTATTTGGAAAAGCACAGTTTGATTAGAAATAGTCAGCATGGCTTTGTGAGCAGCAGGTAAGCCTCATGAGCCTTACTGAATTCTTTGAGGATGTGACAAACCACATTGATGAAGGTAGAGCAATGGATGTGGTGTATATGGATTTTAGCAATGCATTCGATAAGGTTCCACATGGTAGGCTCATTCAGAAAGTAAGGAGGCATGGGATTCAGGAAAATTTGGCTGTCTGGATACAAAACTGGCTGTCCAAGAGAAGACAGATGGTAGTAGATGGAAAATATTCAGCCTGGAGCTCGGTGACCAGTGGTGTTCTGCAGGGATCTGTTCTGGGACCTCTGCTCTTTCTGATCTTTATAAGTGATTTGGATGAGGAAGTGGAAGGGCGGGTTAGTATGTTTGCCGGTGACACAAAGGTTGATGGAGTTACGAATTGTGTGGAGGGCTGTTGTAGGTTGCAATGGGACATTGACACAATGCAGACCTGTGGCAGATGGAATTCAACCTGGAAAAGTGTGAAGGGATTCATTTTTGTAAGGTCAAATTTGAATGCAGAATACAAGGTTAAAGGCAGGATTCTTGCCAGTGTGGACGAACACAGGGATCTTGGGGGGATCCACGTCCATAGATCCCTCAAAGTTGCTACCCAAGTTGATAGGGTTGTAGAGAAGGCGTATGGTGTGTTGGCTTTCATTGGCAGGGGAATTGAGTTTAAGAGCCGTGAGGTTATGCTGCAGCTCTATAAAACCTTGATTAGACCACACTTGGAATATTGTATTCAGTTCTGGTCACCTCATTATAGGAAGGAAGTGGAAGCTTTAGGAAGGGTGCAGAGGAGATTTACCAGGATGCCTACTGGACTGGAGGGCAGGTCTTATGAGGAAAGGTTGAGGGAACTAGGGTTTTTTTCATTCGAGCGAAAAAGGATGAGACTTGATAGAGGTGTACAAGGTGATGACAGGCACAGACAGAATGGATACCCAGAGACTTTTTCCCACGACAGAAATGACTGTTACGAGGGGGCATATTTTTAAGGTGACTGGAGGAAGGTATAGGTGAGATGTCAGAAGTAGGTTCTTTACACAGAGAGAGTGGTGGGTGCATAGAATGCGCTCCCAGCGGTGGTGGTGGAGTCAGATACTTTAGGGACATTTAAGCGACTCTTGGATAGGCACATGGATGCCTAAACTGTAGGGTAGATTGATCTTAGTAGGATAATAGGTCGGCACAACATTGTGGGCCGAAGGGCCTGTAATGTGTGGTACTGTCCTATGTTCTAAAAGGAAAGCGGATCAAACAAACTTTTTTGATCTGCTTTCCTTTTGTTTGTTTGAGGTTAATTGCAGGTTGTTTCCTAATCAAAAAGGTTCTACAGGTGCTTAGTCACCAAGGAAGAGCATAACGTTTGAACAGGCAGAAGTTAACTATTAACAAGGTCAGTACCTGGAAATTGGTCCCAGCAAGTCCGAAAAAAATGACCTTAGCAATTAGAACCTTGTAGGAGATGATCAGTCTGTCAGGGAGGAGCCAGAGTCAGAGCTGGTGTTTGAAATGTGTTTTTTGAAAAAGGTATCTAGCTGTTGGCGTTACAGCATGAAGACCTGAAAGCTCCTTGACTCACCTCCCCAAAACACGTTTTGGAAGTTCAAAAAATAGAAAACTTAAGTATTCTAAGTTGTAAAAGGTAACTCTGACTGGTGTCTTCAGAAAAAAAGAAAAAAATCTGTGCCTCTGGAACAATTCATCATGAAAGCTACTTTTGCAATCTGGCCAGTTTTTTTTTAAATTTATCCCTTTACTGTGTTTATCTTTTGAGAGAATGGTACTGAAATCAAAAGGTTTTTGGGCTTATAACACAGACTTTTGCTTACATAGATTATTTTGCTGTGTAATTTTGCTCCACTAAAACGTCATTGTATTATTTATAAATTGCCAAGTCTTTTGTTTAAGGTACAAACCACTGTCTGGAATTCATCATTTGCAGTGTCTGCGATTATTAAAAAGTCTGACTAGGAACCAGTGGGGTCAATTTTGAGGGTCTTTGAAGGTTTTAATTTTACTGTGTATCAAATACAGAAGTAGAAAGACTGATTTGGTTCAGCTGTCTCAGTGTTGGGAACACTAAGGAGAGATGTGTGCATGTTTGTGGAGGTGGTGTTGATGAAGAATGACAGTCTCATAAATTCATCCCATCTTTGACAGTTGTGCTTTACCATCTAACAAGTGCTCCAAAAGATGAATTCTCTACAAAGAAAAATTAAATAGGTGTATAAATTACTTTCAGTTCATACACCATGATATCCAGAGGAGAAAAAAAAGAAAATTGTGTAGAACAGGGATACAAAATGAAGTCAATATTACCACTTCACTTTTCCTACATAAATCCAACTGTGTATGGACTTGCCTTTGAATTTTTACATGTATACACACATAGAAGCATAGAATCCCTACAGTGTGGAAGCAGGCCATTTGACCCATTGAGTCCACACCAAGCCTCTATCCTATCCTGGAACTCCAACCCTAGACACTATGGGCAATTTAGCATAGCCAATCCACCTAACCTGCACATTTTTGGACTGTGGGAGAAAACCAGAGCACCCAGAGGAAACCCAGGCAGACACAGGGAGAACGTGCAAAGGCTGGAATTGAACCCAGGTAACTGGGGCACAGAGGTAAGAGTGCTAATCGCTGAGCCACCAGACTACCCTAGGTAGCTCATACACAGGAACAGTGAATTACCTCAATTCAGCTTTTTGGTGGTGGTGGTGGTGGGGTGGGGGGTTGGTGGAGATGTGTTGACAGTTAATCACAAGAAGTTAATATATTGTTTGATGATTGAAATTATTCACTGACACTGTAGGAAAAGACTACCTAGGAAATGCTTTCTAAATCCATTTTAAGTGGGTAAGCTATGGATCAGCATAGTTTTTAAAAGTGTATTCAAATAACAATTTCTTAAATTTAAATATCTTAAATTATTTTTTCATTAAAAGTCAGAATATTTTTAATGCAAAAAATTGATTAACACTTTACCATATGCCATGTGAATCACATCAACTTAGTTGTCAGCATGATTACCTTAACATTGAAATTGCATCTGCAGATTTACAAGCAATGAGTTATTGCACCCACAACAACAACAAAGTTCCTGGAAAAGCTCAGCAGGTCTGGCAGCAAATATGAAGGAAAAAACAGAGTTAACGTTTCGGGTCCGGTGACCCTTCCTCAGAGTTATTGCACTGTCTGAATATTTTGTACTATTTTTTCAGCAGACCAAAGTCCACAGTTTCTGCATATTATTACAACAGTCAAACCAAACTATTCCCACTGAACGAAAGCTACCGCTTGTCTCTATAAAGGAAACCACACTTTTAAAAAACTACAGGGAAATTTCCTGAAATTAGATTGTAAACAGAACTGCAACCATTTTTTGTAATTTTTCCACAAAATTACAAGTGGATTAAAGCACATTGTTACCTGGAATCAACCATGCAGCCTGTGTTATCCCCTAAAGCAAAGGCACAACAAATCTGTCCTTGTGATAACCTTATTCCTTAAACTAAATCGGCTGAACAAAATTAGACGTAAGGTTTAACTAGATTTGTAGATATTTATCCAAACATTTCACTGTAATAGCCTCGTCCCGCGCACTATTATAGCACCAAAAAGTATTGTGTCTCTAGTAGGAAGCCTGTAGCTTTTGAAAGGAAATGACAGACCTCTAAGCGAGGAGCCAGGCATCTAGCCATATCCTGGTTGACTTTAAAAACAATCATTCTTTCGTATTCCAGGGTTTCGACTCACCATCCGTTTCAAATCGCATGACAACACACAAATTAAACAATCTTTAAACTACACAAACGTTTTTTTAAAATTAATATAAGTACACTTACCTCAGTAAAGTAGTTGTCCATTGTTTAATTATTCAGTGTGCAGAAGTTTACTGCCGACATAAAAGAAACACAGGCTAACCATGAATTAACGATGTGCGCAACAAATAAAGGAGGTATTCCACTTCTCGAGTTTCAGGGCTACTCCACGTTACCACCAGTCTTCAGAGCAACATAACAAAATCCTTTGTTTTAGTGTTTCTTTAAATCGAGGAGATTGTGAAACAAGCATTCGCTCATTGCTGTTTACTTAAACTACAGTGTTCTTCAAATTAACAAATGCATATTAGCTCAAGGTCCTGTAGAATTAAAACAATTGACTTTTATTAAAACTCATCTACTTTGTCCGACGCACGCACGTTATTTTTGTTCGATGAAATTGCTTCTCTGACCTGATCGAAAAGACTCACACTCCCTAGTGACTAATAAAGCTCCACCCTGTTACTTCAGCCCAGTCTCCGCCACTAAACCATATAAGGAGATTGGTTCCTCGTCACTTCAAAGATTTAAATATAAACCACATTACCATTCCTCCAAACTGCCATATTTAAACTTCAGCATTTTGCCAGCTGATGCAAATTCTGCTGTACAATATAAGTTTAAGATTCAACAGTAAGAAGAGCTACAGCTAATATCTTCAGTTTAAAATGTCCAACTTAAAACTCAACACCTTCCATACTACAGTCAGTGGAAGGTTAGGGTTATTCCAGATTAGATCTATGGAAAATTTATAATGGTTGTTCACCAAATCCTGATACTTTTCCAAATTATTAAATACAGGTTATTGTAGGATTCTAAGGTCATCTTCATAGATTTCACAGAATCCCTACAGTGTGGAAACAGGCCCTTCAGCCCAACAAGTCCACACCAAACCTCAGAGCATCCCACCCAGACCCATCCCCCTATATCCCAGCTCACCTACACATCCCTGAACACTACAGGCAATTTAGCATGGCCAATCCACCCAGCCTGAACATCTTTGGACTGTGGGAGGAAACCAGAGCAAACCCACAAGAATGTGCAAACTCCACACAGACAGTCACCTGAAGGCGGAATTGAACCAGGTTCCTGGCACTGTGAGGCACCAGTGCTAACCACTGAGCCACCGTGCCACCATGCCACCCCAAATCAGTTCCCATGGCACAACATCTTCCCCAATCAACTGAGATTACAGCAAGGTCCTGAAAAATGAGGACCATTTTCCATATTTTAAAACACTTGTCTTGGCAGGCATTGATGATTTAATTCATCATTAAATGAATTTAACTTTTGGTATTACGGTGATGGGGTAGACAAAAGAATATGGAATGTTCAATTAGCCATGATTATATTTAATGCTGAGGCAGATTTAATGGGCTGAATGGCCTATGTCTGTGCCTACATTCCTAAAATCTATTAATAGTGCTGTTCAGGCAGTTTCTCTCCAACAGTAGCCATTCTCCCTTATCCAGACCCTTTGCCCAGCTTAAATTTGCTTAGATAACTAATTACATAAATAATTCCTGTCATAGCTACAAGAGGTGACTTGATTTCTCCTAGAGAAGGGTAGTTACTCCTCACATGAAAAATATGTTCTATTCAGTATTGACATATTCCTCAAGATTCTGTCCTAAGGTGTGAATATACAAGTCAGTTTGAAAATTATTTAGTTTGATTCTGGGTGTGTGTTCTTTAGGCTGTAGCACATCTTCAAGAATTGACTTCTTTTCCTACAAGGAATACATTGTTGAAATCAGGCTATAAAGTTTTATTGTCATTGATGTGGGGTTTGGAACCACATCAATGACAAAACAACATATCATTAGATTGCTTAGGATTTGGCATTGATATTGTCACATATGGTAAATTTTTCAGATGGGAGGTATGTCTCCTCTAGTCAAATGCTTCACCGTTTACTGTAGTCAACATTCTGTAAAATGTTCTGAATTAAATGCAATTTTTACAGTATAATTCTCCTTGAACAATTTCCAAGACTCTGCTGATATTTGGACTGTTCATTCTAGAGTTAGATTCTCTTTTAATTGATTGACTAATTGAACAAAGAGACAAATGACAATTTTATTGTAAATGAGCTCTTGTAAGTTTCCATTGTTGCATAGTTCAGTTAGTACATACAGGTCATTAATGAAGCTAACTACAGACTGCCTTGGGAATTGGTATCTGTTATTGAAGTGAGATCTCAACAGTGTCTTTAAAGTGGAATATTGATCAAAAGATGAGGTTGTCAAAAATAATTTGTTTCTTATTGATCTGTTGTCTGTGTAACACATGATTTGATGTTCTTCCCATGTAGTAAAGAAGTATGCCAAAATTTTCTGAATTTCATTTAGTGTCCAATGCTGAAGCTGTTCAAAATCTTAGAAATGGTGCTTTCTATATTTGCAAATTTGTTGGTCAATTAAATGGATTTAATAGCTTGAATTTTTCTGGTGGAATGATTAGCACCCTTGAACTTTGTTGTATTTGTTGATTTTTGTTAGGCATTTGAAGTTATTGATTATTTTCTTGATTTAGATGATTGTTCGGATTTTGATCTCCGTGTACTATACGCCTTTTGTTGCCTTAAAAAATTAATTTGTCCCCTAATACCTTAATTCAATTTCCCATTGCATGCTTGAAATAAAAACTCCGAGCAAGTAATTTTATTGATCTCAATTTCAGAAGCCATTATGTCCAGGCTCGGTAGTTTTAAACAGTGATTTTGTATTGAAGCTCCTGTTCTTAAACATATTGTCTAGCATGACTTCTGGGACCTCACTGTCTTCTTGAAAACTGTTTAAAAACAAAATCCACTGTGGGTCTGGAAGAAGCCCAATGATTTTCTTATTCATTCACTCAAGGGACATGGGTCACTGGCTGCTTCATCCCTAGTTACCCTTGAGAAGGTAGAAGTGACCTACTTTCTTAAACCGCTGCAGTGCCCCTGCTGTAGGTAGACTCACAATGCCTTAAGAGAGGGAGTTCCTGGATTTTGACCCAGCAACAGTGAAGGAAAGGCAATATATTTCCAAGTCAGGATGGCGATTAGCATGAAGGTGGTGGTGTTCCCATGTATCTGCTGCCCCTTTACCTTCCAGATAGACGATGATATCTAAGGGCTTTGGTGAATTTCTGCAGTGCTTCTTGGAGATAGTACACACTGCTGCTACTGAATGATGGTGGTACAGGGAGTGGATGCTTGTGGATGTGGTGCCAGTCCAATTGGCTGCTTTGTCCTGATTGGAGTCAAGCTTCTTGAGTGTTGCTGGAGCTGTGCCTATCCAGGCAAGTGGGGAGTATTCCATCGCACTCGTGACTTGTGCCTTGTGCATGGCAGACAGGCTTTGGGGAGTCAGGAGATGAGCTACTCATCACTGTATTCCCAGCTTCTAACCAACTCTTGTGGCCACTGTATTTACACACCAAGTCCAGTTGAGTTTCTCATCGATGGTAACCCAAAGGATGTCAATAGTGGGGAATTCAATTGATGGAAATGCCACTAAATGTCATGGGACAGTGATTCAATTGTCTCTTATTGGAGATGGTCATTGCCTGGTATTTATGTGACATGAATGTTATTTGCCACTTGTCAACCCAAGTCTAGATATTGTTCAGATTTTGTTGCACTTGACATGGACTGCTTCAGTATCTGAGGAGTCGCAAATGTGCTGAACACGGTGTGAATATCAGCACATGTCCCTACTTCTGACCTTATGATAGAGGGAAGCTCATTGATGAAGCAACTGAAGATGGTTGGGCCAAGGACACTATCCTGAGGAACTCCTGCAGAGATGTCCTGCAGCTGAAATGGCTGATCTCTAACAACCTTGACTATCTTCCTAACTGCCAGATGTGACTCCAACTATTGGAGGGTATGCCCCCGATGCCCTTTGATTCCAGTTTTGCTAGGGCTCCTTGATGCCACACTCAATCGAATGCAGCCTGATGTCAAGGGCTGTGACTCTCACCTCACCTTTGGAATTCGGTGCTTTGTCCATGTTTGAACCCAGGTTCTAATTAAGTCAGGAGTTGAGTGGCCCTGGCAGAACCCAAACTGGGTGTCACTGAGCAGGTTATTGCTGAGCAGATACTGCTTGATTGGATTGTTGGTGACACCTTCCATCACTTTACTGACGATCCAGAGTAAGCTGATAGAGTGGTAATTGTCTTGCATTTTGTTTACATGACATAGCTGGGCAACTTTCCACATTGTCAGGTAAATGCCAGTGTTGTAATTGTACTAGAACAGCTTGGCTAGGTGAGCAGCAAGTGCCAGAGCACAATTCTTCAGAACTGTTGTCAGAATGTTATTATTGCCATAGCCTTTGCCTCCAACCATTTCTTGATATCGCATGAAATGAATCGATTTAACTGAAGACTGTCATCTGTGATGCTGGTAACCACTGAAGGAGGCTGAGATGGATTATGCACTTGGCACTTCTGGGTGAAGATTGCTGAAATTGTTTCAGCATTATCTTTTGCACTGACGTGTTGGGTTCCTCCATTATTGAGGATGGGAATATCTGTGGGGCCTCCTCCTCCAGTGAGTTGTTTAATTGTCCAACGCCATTCATGATTGGATGTAGCAGGACTGCAGAGCTTAGATCTGATCTGTTGCTTGTTGGATTGTTTAGCTCTGTCTATCGCTTGCTGCTTATGCTGTTTGGCATGCAAGTAATCCTTGATATGTCTCCTGTACCTTCTATTCAACCAGGGTTAATCCCCTGGCTTGACAAGTTGGGGACAGGATGGGCCATGAGGTTGCAGATGGTATTTGAATAAGATTTTGCTTTTTGATGGCCCACAGCACCTCATGAATACCCAGTCTTGAGTTGCTAGATTTGTTCGAAGTCTGTCCCATTTAGCACAGAGATAGTGCAAGACAACACAGTGGAGGGGGATCCTTAATGTGAAGGTGGGACATTGTCTTCACAAGCACTATGCAGCAGTCACTCTTGTCATGAACTGTCATGAACAGATGTATCTGCAGCTGGCAGATTGGTAAGGATGAGGTCAACTATGTTTTTCCCTCTTTTTGGTTCCTTTACCACCAGCCACAATCATGTCTTTTAGGACCCAATCAGTAACGCGGCTGCCAGGCCACTTGGTGGTGGACATTGAAATCCCCCACCATAGTATATTTTGCACCCTGGCCACACTCATTGCTTCCTCCGCATATTGTTCAAAATGGAGGAGTACCTGTTTATCAGCTGAGGGAGCACTGTAATCAGCTGGAGCTTTACTTGCCCATGATTAACCTAAAGCCATGAGACTTTATGGGATCCAGATTTAATGTTGAGTACTATTTATAGCTGTGCCGCCACCTCTGCTGGACTTGGCATGTAGTGGGATTGGAAACATCCAGGGATGGTGCTGGTGATGGCATGTCTGGGATATTATACGGTGTGATTCCATGAATATGAAGATGTCAGGTTGTTGCTTGACTAGTCTGTGAGATGGATCTC